GGTCAGAAGGTTCTGCCTAGCGCAGCCCCTGGGGACATGTTAGGGACATGTCCTCCTGGAGCATGACAGATGGCCAAGAATGCAGTGCCGATGCCAACTGCTGCGACCATGGCATTCGCATTTAGAAAGCACCTGCTGTCTGGCTAGGAGAAGGGATAGCCCTAGGAGACACTGGGTATGCGCGGCTTGGGCCTTAAAGGCACCCAGTACAGCTGACCGCGCTGTGCAGGCAGAAAGACCCTTGCTCCTTCGGGTTCGCGTCATTGTCCTTGAGTCCCTCGGGGAAAGCTGCTGCTACGCCTTCCGTAACACACCTGCTGGCCATGCTGCCTACTACGTGCGAGTCTAAAAATAGTCAGAATTTGGTATCTGGAAAAGTCTCTGCTTCTCAAGCACCCTGGAACATGTTTCTCTTCTTAATTCCTCTGATTGGAATTTCAGGGACAGCACGTGTGTACATCTTTGTGTTTATTCTTTGTACATTTTTTTCTTTATAGGATTTTGGATCTTTTCTTTTGACTAGCTAGTATGTTTACAGAAACTTTACAATAGCAGCCATAATTTTTTTTTTCATGTATTTAGTAAGGGTTTACAGGGCCTCACTACATGAATCAGACTCAGGGATCCTCCTGTTTTCAGCCTCCCAAGCACTGGGACTATAGGGGCACGCCGCCACACCCGGACTCATTAGCTGTCCCAGTGCACTCCAGGGGTGGGGCCAGCACAGCACATAAGTCGTCCTTTGGATTAGATGAATATGCTGAGTGCAATAAAGACATGATTCAGAGGGCGACTCATTCTACCAACCTCGCGGCTCTTTGAGGGCAGAATCCATGGGGTGGGGGGTCTGTGGGCCGGGGGAGGAGGGTATGGTTGACTGCCCTTTGCCGCAGACATCAGACCCCGAGTCCCTCCTAGACCCTGAGATCGTACTCTGGAGCTCAGCTGGCCTGGTGTCTTCTGCTGCCATGCTCAGCTGCGTCAAAGCGGAGGCTGAAGTTCCACAGGAAGACTCAGTGAACTCTGGATGCCCGGTTCGTTACTGGCACCATTTCCCCATTCATGTAGAACTCTCGGGAGGCGTAGTCACACCAGGTCACTTGGGGACTGAACGAATGCAGTGTTCCTAATGTGTATAAGCCAGGGCCGAGTCCTGCACCCTGGCTCCACCCTGGCCATCTGGATGTGGCCTCGCATTGGCCCTTTCTGTCAGGAATTCCTGGATCTCCCAACGCTCCTACAAACAGCTACTGTCCTTTATGAGATCATATAAAGTGCAGAGTCACCTTGTATTTGTTCCTGTCTCTCTCGTGAGGCACTGGCCATATTATGCAAGTGAAACACAATCGTAAGAAACAAAATCCCCTCTTGGTGCAGGCGCGTGGAGATAAGTTTGGGGATCCCTTTTGCCTCCTCGCTTCTCCCATTTCTAGTGGTCTCTGTATCTCCGTCCATCTCTTCTGCCTTCACAGTGGGCCTGATGGTCCCTACCTGAGGGCACAGTGTTAAGGGAAACAGCCCTGCCTCGGCTGAGGCTGTGATGCACAGCTGTGCTGCAGTTTCTCCACAGGCCATGGAAAGGCCTCTGCCCACAAGGACCTGCAGGCACGGGAGGAGGAGGAAGAGGACAGGGAGTATATTCGTCCTGAAGAGGGGTTTCTGGGTGCGGTGTCAGCCTGGGAGAAGCCTAATTCCCTGGGGGGGGGGTGTCCCTGCAGCTGGGTCAGAACTTCCCGGAGATGCCAAGCCTGCTTCTGCCATGTGTGCTCGCTCAGCCCTTGGGAGCCTTCCACCCGGCGTGCTGGCCCATCCCAGCTGGGAGGCAGCTGTGGAAGGGAAAACTGGACTTAGAGGCGGGAGGCCTGGGTTTGAATCTCAGCCTGACCACTTTCACAGGCAAGTGACCCTGCTTCACAGTATTGCTGAGAGTAGTTTAGAAATTAGGTGTGATAGGAGCCGGGGAGACAGCTCAGTAGAATAAGCATTTGCCTGGCAAGCGAAAGGGCCTGAGTTCAATCCCAGGTTCCGCCAAAAAAAAAAAGAAAGAAGAAAGAAAGAAAGAAAGAAAGAAAGAAAGAAAGAAAGAAAGAAGAAAGAAAGAAAGAAGAAAGAAAGAAAGAAAGAAAGAAAGAAAGAAAGAAAGAAAGAAAGAAAGGAAATTAGGTGTGATAGGAATGTAGGAAGAGGCTCAGCCAAGACACTGAGTGGAACTGAATTACTCTTGGGGGAACCCAGGAGAGGCTGAGTTATGTCCATCTTTGGCCCACAATTCTAAACAGGACATAGGCAGCCCTCAGTCCAGGTAGTGATAGTAAGTGGAATCACGAGGTGACTGCGGCCTGGGTGGGTGTGACTCTCGGCAGTGGCTCCAGATCGGCCACATGATGCATGACGCCTCCTTTCAAGAGGGAACCTTGTAGCCACTGCCCTCTTCCAGTTGAGGAGGCCCCTGCTCTCATATTAGAGGCAAACGTGACGGGACAGTCCCCCAGGCCTCCTTGTCCCTGCCCCCTGCTGTGCCCCAGTCTAGCTGCCACTGTGGCCCAGGGTGACAGGTGTCTCTGTTCCGGGAACCAAATCTCACCCTCAGCAGCTGGAACGCTGTGACCCTTGGGCGAGGGAGGGAAGAAGGCTGTCAGAGGTCAACACGCTTGGAAATGTTGAGCAGGCAAGTTCCCCACAGGGTGACAGATTTCTCCATCTTAAAGAAAAGGCTCCAGGCTGGGAAGACAGCTCAGCGGCATAAGCGCCTCCCTGGCAAGCGCAAGGTCCCGAGTTAGATCCCTAGTACCAAAAAAGAAGGAAAAAAAAAAGGCTTTAGACGCTCTTCCTGACTTGGGGGAGGCTCTGCGAAACACGCCTGCCTCAAATAGCGGGATGAACCCAAGTGCAGTGGAGGGGAGGGGACACAGGCAGGTGACAGGTCCACCTTTGGATCTCACTCTGTCTCCACGTTCCCAGAGGGCATCATCCCGGCCCTGCCGCCGCCTTCATCCATGCTGCAACCCTCCCTCGCATCCCAGCGCCCACAACGGCAGCCATGGGCGTACGACCACCTGAATCGGACTGAACACGCGAGCTGTGTACTTGGTGTGTGAGACAGCCAGCTGCGAGCAGTCCCTGGCCAGGGTAGCTCTCAGTGCAAGGGAGACAGGAGGGGGGCAGAGTCTGAGGGCATCCGAGGAGCACCGCGCAGGCGTGCTGTCAGGACGCACACACGTGCATACAGGGACGACACCGTGACGTGGGCGGGGCCTCGTGGGCCTCTTGCTCCATCAATCAGGGAGTTGCAGCTTTCGAAGGCGGCTCAGGTCTGAGCCATCGCTGACATTGTCAGAGAAACCCAGGGGAAGGGAGGTGGAGAGCCCGTCCTTGAGCTGGTTGCGCTGGGAGAAAGATGGGGTGGAAGCCCCAGATAGTTAACAGAGCCTGGAAATGGAGCCAGAGCAAGGCAGAGCTCTGCAGGCAATGTGGGTGTGCTTGGAGGCAGTGGAGTTGGGTACAGAAGGTGTCAGAGACCTGTGGGATTGTTTTCTTTTTGTGGTACTGGGAGCTGAACCCAGGGCCTTGTGCACTCAGACCCTGAGCTGCATCCTGAACCGTCGTCGTCGTCATCATCATCATCATCATCATCATCATCATCATCATCAATTTTGAGACAAAGTTTCTCTAAATTGCTAAGTTGCCCAGGCTGGGCTCAAACTTGGCATCTTCCTGACTCAGCCTCCCACAGTATGGGATTGCAGACATATACACTGCTTTAGGCTCTTAAGCTATATTTTGAGGAGGGAATAACACAACTTGGGGCAGGTTTCAGAGGGGAAGGCAGCCTATGAAACCAGAAGGCAGCAGTTTCGGGGAAGTTGCACTGTTTGTAGGAGTGTAACCCGGACACACCACCCCCCATACCAGCTGGTCTCATAGCCTGGAGGGGGAGCCACTTGGGACCTGGGGTCAGAGGCTTGTAATGGCCCTATCTGCCCAGTCTAAGGTCCTGTAACACAATGTGCGACTCACTCTCCACCTCAAGTGCACAGCTCAGCGCCATGCAGGTCGTACTTTGCATCCATTCCCATCATTTTGCCCAGCTGGGGCCCTGTACCCTTTCAGCACGGGGGTCCTCTGGCTGTGTGAGCCCCAGCGGAAAGGGCTCCCTACTGTGGCTGATATTTTTCCTTTGGGTTCCCTGAGCCCTGCTCACATACCCATTTTTACCTACCTCTGGATTAAACTCTCCTCAATGTACCCAACCTCAGGGTGACCCCTCTCTCCGCTGGGCACAGGCCTCATACCTGTGCAGTTGGCCAAAATGGTATCTCCCATCTCCATCACCTAGTGAGAAACTAAGTAAGGCAGCAAGAGGCAAAATAACCTGCCGAATATCAACTAGTAAGGGCTGTCACTAGGATTTAGACCCTAGCAGTCTGCTTCTGAGACGGCTGACACACAAGAAAAGCGTCCAGGATTCAATTGATGGCAACCATGGGGACCCAGAGCAGGTGAGGAGTCGGAGCTGCCCAGGCTGGAGCAGGTGTAGACGAGGGGCTGTGGTGTACATGCGCAAGGGACAGCAGGCTCTAGAGCAGCTGTAGTCATGTCCAAAGGGAGCAGTGTGTCCTGGAGGAGATGGTGCCACAGCCCGCGATGCCCTGTGTTCCCTCAGCTGTCCTATTGCATCTGCTGAGGTCCCTCACCCCAAGTAGGAGGTGCAAGGAGCTGCCCCAGGGCAGAGCTCCATGGCCAAAGCTGAGGCTGATGTGGCAATGAGGGTGTCCCAACATGTCCCCTGCCGGAGCCCAGAGGCCCTGCTGAGCAGCATGGCCCAGGTGTGGCTGGTGTGACCAAATGGATTTTAGTCCCCTGGGAAAAGACGCCTAGATTCTGAATCTCTCCATGACTCGGCCCAAAAGGACGGCATAAAAGTCAGGACAGGTAGAAAGGAGGGCAAGTGGCAGGTCGCGCTGGAAGCAGAGAGCAGGCCACACAACAGGTCCACGGAGATGGTCTCTCTGCTGAGCGGGCTGGCATTCCTGGCTGGCTCCTTCCTGCTCCTGAAACTTGGCACCTTCTACTGGAAAAGGAGCCGCCTTCCCCCCGGTCCCTTCCCCTTGCCCGTCCTCGGCAACCTGTGGCAGCTAAGCTTCCAGCTGCACCCAGAGACGCTGTTCCAGGTAGGAGGCCTGGCCTCGAGCTGAGGCCCTACAGGGTTGGACAGAGGGTCCCCTCCTCCTGTCAGCCCATGCAGACATTGAGGGTGGGGGATCCTGCCCCCATCACTTGCCAGCCCTGAAGCCTTGTCAAACAGGGCTGAAGGGGGAATGCAAAAGTGGAAATTTATTTATTTTCTTTTTGTATTTTAGGGAAGGGTCTACAGGGTGTTCAGGGTCTCACTACTAGATCAGACTCATAGTGATTCTCCTGTTTACAGCCTCCCAAGAGCTGGGATTACAGGCATGCGCCACCATGCCCAGTCTCAATCGCCATCTCAGTGCACCCTGGGGGGCAGAGCCGGCATGGTAGTTCCGGGGATTGAACACCTAGCTCCTGTGCCTGCTTGCGGGTGCTTTAATCCACTGAGCTATTTGGCTGGCCCAAAAGTGGAAATTTAGAAACAAATGAAACTTAAAGACTGACCACAGTCTACCTAAGAGGTCTCTGAGGGCCAAAGTCCAAAGCAAACACAGGAAACTGCACATGACCATCCAGTACTCTAGAAGAATACTGATGTGGCTTAACAGCATTTTTGATCTCTGGCCATCTGCAGTGAAAAAGCACTGTACAGAAAACTGGGGTTTGACTTTTGCCTCTGGTTTCCAACTGCAGCCTGAGGCTGAGGGTAGACTCGGGTGACATGCGGGAAGCCCGCCTGAGTCATGAAGCCCTCAAGTGCTGTGGCTGCATGTATCTGTCACTATAAAGTGGCAGAACACAGCTACTCCAGGACAGGTGGGCCCAGCCCCTCCAGGTGTCCAGGGAGCTGTGACCCAGTTTGGGCCGGCCAGGGGACAGGGTGGGGGTGTGCCAAGAAGGTGTCCCTGAAGAAGTGCATGTTGGGTGCAAGAAGGTTCGGGACTCATGTCTAGAGGAGGGTCCCAGGGTAGGGCCGGCGGCTCTGTCTGCACTGCTGCTGCCCTGTCCGTCCACAGCTGGCTGAGACCCATGGCCCCGTGTTCACCATGTGGGTCGGCCCCACGCCGGTTGTGGTGCTGAGCGGCTTCCAGGCCGTGAAGGACGTGCTGATCTCCAACTCCGAGCAGTTCTCGGGCAGGCCCCTCACGCCACTCTTCCGTGACCTGTTTGGAGAAAGAGGCAAGTCTCTCCTCTGCCTCCCTGCGCTCCTCCCTTAGTGCTCGTGGGATGTGGGGGAGACAGAACAAGATTCCTGTGAGGGCGGGAACAGGGCCTGGCTCGACAGACGCCCCTGCGCCCACCTCCAGCCCTGCCCAAAGCCTCCTTCCTCCCTTCCCTTCTTTCCTTCTGCCTTGGTTCTCTCTCGCTTTTTTCCCTCAAGTGAAGCTTTTAGTTGCATGTGATTGTGGCACAGCGAACGCTCTATCTTGTCACTATGTACTTTCTTCCAAGCCCACAAATAATTTTTTTTTCTTTTTTTTTGGTGGAACCGGGGATCAAACTCAGGCCCTTGTGCTTGCCAGGGAAGCACTTATTTCGCTGAGACATCTCCCTGGCCCCATATTTTTTATTTCTAATGCATTAATTTTGCGGTGTTGGGGATGAACCAGGCCAAGTGCATGGTAGGCAAGCTCCCTACTATGGTGCTACCTCCCCAGTCCCGCTGTCCTCTGTTTCTGGGGAGGACTCCTCACAGGGGCACTGGGGACAGGGCGGGGGCTGGGGAAGGCCAGCCTGAGGGTCCTGGGATCACTCCCCACCACCTGCAGCGCTCCTTAACTTTTGGCTAGGGCACCATCCTAGAACCGGTGGGCACTCTGGGGAGAGGTCAGGGAGGCTGGCTTCTGTCACCCATCTGCTATCCCCTGGGGCCCAGGCATCATCTGTAGCAACGGGCACACGTGGCGGCAACAGAGACGCTTCTGCCTGGTGACGCTCCGCAGGCTGGGCTTGGGCAGACAGGCGCTGGAGCTGCAGCTACAGGATGAGGCGGCAGAGCTGGTGGAGGCCTTCCGCCGAGAGCAGGGTGAGGGGCACGCTGCCCAGGCACCCACAGGGGGGAGGAGGCCGGGCTTGCAGTGCGGGACAGGCTGTGGTCCTTGGTGTCCAGGACATTTTGAGCCATGCCCGTAGACTGGGGGTTTCTCCATGGCAGTGGACAGAGGTCAATGGGAAACCAGAAGCTCGCCTCCTCTGTCCTGTGGGAGTGCCCAGCCTTACACAGTGCCAAGCTTCCACTCTGGAAGAACTGTCAGACCTGGCCAGCTGAGCTCCCCTCAGAAGCCCTCCCTGAATCCCAGGCACTGCTGGTCTCCCGCCCCTCTGTCCCCAGCAGTGACCTGCCTGCCGCCCTCTCTCTGAAAACGTGGCATCTGAGGTGCTCAGTAAGCACTTGGTGGGTGTGTGAGTGAGGAGCGAGGGGGAACCGCGGCACAGGACACAGGTGACCACGGTCAGGTGCCCACTTCCCTGAGCCCTGCTCCTCTGTCCTCAGGTAGAGCCTTCGACCCTCAGGTCGTCATTGTCAGGACCACGGCCAGAGTCATTGGGGCCCTCGTCTTTGGCCGTCGCTTCCTCTCAGAGGAGCCCATCTTGCAAGAACTGACTCAAGCTGTAGACTTCGGCCTGGCCTTCGTCAGCACCGTGTGGCGCCGGGTATTTGGCAATTGGGGGACCATGGCATGGCTGGGGGCCAGAGGTAGGGGCCTCCGCCAGGGCCTGGCAAGGAGTGTGCGGAGTGTGAACAAGGTAGAGGCTGTGAGGCCCAATTCTGGGTGCTTTTTGTTTCTTGAGACAAAGTCTCACCATGTACTTTAGGCTGGTCTGGAACTCAGCATGCAGCCCAGGCTGGCCTTGAACTCATGGCGATGCCCCTGCCTCCACCCCGCCCAGCCATTGTGGGTTTCTCAGGTGCTGGTGTGTTCATAGTAGCAAACTCCTTCACCTTGGGGTAGAGATAAAGTCAAGTTTTGGCCTCAGAAATGCAGATTTCTCAGCAGCAGCATCTTAGCTAGGCCCTGAACATGATCACTGTTACCACGCTCTCCTTTTCCTCTAAATTATGTTGGGGTCCCAGAAGAGAGGTCACTTGGGTTGCCCACATCTGATTCCCCAGCTTACTGTGGGGCCGTTGGCTCAGCTCCCAGCTGTCCTGATGCAGAGGCTGGCTCCTGAGTGGGTCTGGGGGTCCCTCTCCCCACAGTTGTACGACTTGTGTCCCTGGGCCCTCCGCCACCTGCCAGGGCCCCACCAGCAGCTGTTCAGGTACCGAGAGGCTGTGGGAAGCTTCATCCGCCATGAGATCTTCCAGCACACGCTCAGGGAACCAGAGGCCCCCCAAGACTTCATCAGCTGCTACTTAGCGCAGATTTCCAAGGTAGGTCTGGTGCGGCTGCCGAGGAGGCAAGCAGGCTGCGTTCCCAGCTGAAACCCCACAGTGAGGCCATGGTCTCAGCTCCTCTCCTTTGTCTTGGTCTGCAAACCCCGGATGCCCCAGAAGCCTATGTGAAGAAAGGGGCTTCCTCCCTGTCTTTTCCTAGACTGAGGTTGGGAAGCAGATGACCTGGCTACTGCCAGGGTGGCTCCCAGCAAGGGCCAGCACAGCCCTGGGACTCAGGCTAGGGTTTGGGCTCAACTGGGCTCTGGTAGGATGGAACTTTAGACCCAAAGCTGCTCCCCCTGCCAGGCTGTGGATGACCCAGTCTCCACATTCAATGAGGAGAATCTGATCCAAGTGGTGATCGACCTGTTCCTGGGCGGCACCGACACCACAGCCACCACCCTGCGCTGGGCGCTCATCTACATGGTCCAGCATGGAGCTGTGCAGGGTGAGGGGCCCTCGTCACACCCTGCCTGGCTCCCCTGCTGTTTACACCTCCTGGGGCTTCTGGCCTTCCCCCACCCCTGCCCCAACTCATACTCTTCACTCTGTCTGTGGCCCTTGGGCTGGATCCTGATCTCAGCCTGAGAGTCAAGGAGTGTGGGCAGCTTTGAATCGCACAGAAGAGGCTGAATTCATTGCCTGCTGCTCAGTGTGACCTTGGGCGAGTCCATCCCCCTGCAGCCTCAGGGTACAAGAGAGGCCACTGTTCTCTGGCACAAGGCTCTGCAGGTGTGGAGTCCTGGCCATGCACAAGGGCTTACATCTCGGCCCTTCCCCTTCGCATAAAGGTCCTAGGCAGAAGCAAAACCTCCAAAGTTCTGCTCAGCATCAGCATTGTGCAGGAGTTGCCAGGGTGGGGTGGAGTCACCCAAGGTTGGGAGCCTGAGTAGCCACCTGGGACCCACGCTGAGCCTCCTGCAGACAGAGTACAGCATGAGCTGGATGTGGTGCTGGGCCCTGCCCCGACCATCTGCTACGAGGATCGAGAGCGCCTGCCCTTCACCCGCGCTGTCCTTCACGAGGTGCAGCGCCTCAGCAGCGTCGTGGCGGTGGGCGCCGTGCGTCAGTGCGTGACATCCACAAGGGTGCACGGCTACTATGTGCCCAAGGTAGGTGGCCCCATGGAGCCCCACCCCACCCCACACCTGCAAGAAACAGCTTTGCAGCTGCTCTGGCTTCTGCCAACCTGCCAGCTCCCTATCAGCCATCTGTCTGCTGTCTATCCACCCACCTATCCATCTATCCATCCATCTATCCATCCATCTGTCCACCCACCTATCCATCTATCCATCCATC